AGAGTGATTCTGACTCGGAAAAAAAAAAAAAGATAGAGACTGAAATACATTTTCATGAACAAAAAACCTAAATTCAGACAAGGTATTATTTCTTTTCTTTTTGAGTAGTAGGTGATACTTCTGCCTCAGCCTTCCAAGTAGCTGGAACCATAGGTGTATGTCACCATACCCGGCTATTTTTTTTGATTTATTGTAGAGATGAGCTCTCACCAAATTGCTCAGGTTGGTCTCAGGCAATCCTCTGGCCTCCGCCTCCAAAAGTGTTGGGAGCCACTGTGCCCAGTTCTTTTTTTTTTTTTTTTTTTTGAGTCAGGGTCTCAAGCTCTGTCACCCAGGCTGGAGGGCAGTAGCATGTTCAGCTCACCAGACCCGCAAACTCCTGGACTCAGGCAATCCTCCCACTTCAGTCGCCCAAGTGGCTGGGACTGTAGGCATGCCACCACGCCTGGCTTGTTTCTAACTCTTGAGGACCCTGACCACCTTCCCCTGTACAGTGCTATTTTGCACCCCCACCATGGTGCACAGGGCTCCAGTTCCCCAAGAAAAGGATACTGCCTTTGATCATCCCGGGCTCAGACTCATAATCCCACTCGATTTTACTAATCTGGTGATACAGCTGAGCCACGTACCTGCATGAGAGCAAAAGAGGGGAGTGACCCCCAGGGCAGACTCAGCTGAGTATGGGAGTGGGAGTGGGAGTGGAGGAATGGGACAGAGATGTGCCGCCCGCTGGACCCACACGGCCGAGGGGATGGTGACCGTTGTATCTTCGTCCACTTCCCGCTCCTGCCGCTCCAGCTCGGCCTCCACCTCCCTGAGCTCCGCCAGCTCCCGGGTGAGCTGAGTTGGCTAGTTAAGGGCCTGGTGAGGAAGGGCGGTGTGAGGCCCAGGGCTGACATATTCGCGGGAAAGGATATAGCAGGCTGGCCTTCAGGTGGGCATCCTCCTCTCCGGCCTCCTGCAGCCCAGCCTCCAGCTGCTGCAGCTCGGTGCCTGCCTGCTGCGCCCGCTCCTTGGCGTCCAGCAGGCTCTGGGCCACAGCCTTCTCTGCGTCGAGGACCTCTGGGGGGGGGTGAGGAGAGAGCAGGCTCCCTGGGCTTGGTCCTCCCCAGAGAAGGAGGCTCACGGTCCCATCTGCAGGACAATCCCACCTCCTGTCCGCAGCCTTGTGTCCATACCCACCCAGAGAGCACCTCCCCTCCGAACCTGCATGACTATGTCTATTTTACCAAAACACACTTACTCCAAATAAAACCCAGTCAGAGTTTTATTTACTCCAAATAAAACCCAGTCGGAGGCCAGGCACAGTGGCTCAGGCCTGTAGTCCCAGCACTTTGGGAGGTTGAGGCAGGAGGATCCCTTGAGCCCAGGAGTTGGAGACTGCTGTGAGCTATGATTGTGCCACTGCACTCCAACCTGAGTGACAGAGTAAGACCCTGGTTCTTTAAAAAAAAAAAAAAAGACCTCCTGAGTCATGCCCAACTCAGGGGCTCGGCACAGCTGTACCACTTGGAGGTACCAATTCCTCATCTTTCTTCTTCAACTCAGAGGCTTAACTCATTATGTCTCCAGCACCCACCCAGAATAAATAAGTACTGGGCAAAATGCCCAGAGAGACCAAAAATATCTTAAGCTGTGCCCCCAGCTACTCCGGAAGCCCACGCAGGAGGATCACTTGAGCCCAGGAGTCAGATACCAGCCTGAACATTATAGCAAGACTCCATCTCAAAAAACAAAACCACAAAAAACTGCCAGGCATAGTAGTTCACGCCTGTAATTCCAGCACTTTGGGAGGTGAAGGCAAGAGGACTGCCTGAGCCCAGGGATTTGTGACCAGCCTGGGCAACTTGGCAAGACCTTGTGTCTACAATAAATCAAAGAATTAGCCAGGCGTGGTGGCTCTAAGTAGCTCGAACGCGCCTGTTGTTCGAGCTACTTAGAAGGCTGAGGCGGAAGGATCACTGGAGCCCAGCAGGTTGACGCTGAGGTGGCCTGGGCAACAGAGGGAGATTTCTGCTCAAAAAAAAAAAAAAAGTTATTAGCAGAACTGTATTTTCTTATGGTTGAGTAAGCCTTACACAAATCACTAGGCACTTTACCCACCTCAGTTTATTTATTTGATTTTAACTTTATTTTTGCAGAGACAGGGTCTTGTTATGTTGCCCAGGCTGGCCTCGAACTCATAGGTTCAAGCAATCCTCACTCCTCAGCCTCCTGATTACAGGGAGGCACCACTATGCCCAGCTAATTCCTTTTATGGTTTGTAAAGACAGGGTTTTTCTCTATGTTGCTCAGGCTGGTGACATTTGTTTTTGTAGAGATGGGGTCTGGCTCTGTCACCCAGGCTGGAGGCAGTGGTGTGATCATAGGTCACTGCAGCCCCCAACTCTGAGCTCAAGCGATCCTCCCATCTCAGCCTCCCAAAGTACTGGGATGACACCGCACCCGGCCAATTTAATGGCTCCTCATCACAGTGCTCGTTCAGGCCTCACACAGGGCTTCCCTGAGTCGCCCCCAACTTTGCCACTCTGTTCTCCACAGGACCTGGCTTTTCTCCTGGCCCATCACCTCCCCATATATCGATTCTTCTCGTTTATCTTGCTCCCTCTCCCCAACTAGCATGTCAGTCCCCCAAGGGCGGGGATTTTTCTGTTTTGTCCCTGCTGCCACCAGGGCCTGGCACCCCGCGGGTGCTCCACAGAACATCCGAACCACCCCCCAGGAAGAAGGGATGGACTGTGGTCACGACCCTTTGGCAGCGAAGGAAACCGAGGCACAGGGGGATTAGAAACTCCGCTCAACTCTCACAGCTGGGATGTGAGGTTGCTGAGATTCAAACCTGGCACTTCGACTCCTGTGTCCCAGTTCAAGCCCAGGCCCTGCGAGCTCCTATACTTACCACTAAACCGTTGGGAAATGGCTGTTGTCATGAAGCCCATCTCATGGGTGGGGAAAGAGGCTCAGGGGGAGCAGTGCCCACCCAGCGGCGTCACGGGGCGGGCAGGGCGGGAGACGGGAGAGCCCAGAAAGGGGCTCCAGGCCAGCCGGGCGCCCCCTCCCCGCACGCGGGTTCGGTCCTCACCTCGCAGCTGCTGCTCGGCACCGTCTTGCGTCTCCAGCAGCCGCTCCACCACCTGCTCGTGACGCCCCAGCAGCCGTCGCTGCTGCGCCTCGGCGCGGTTGGCGCCCAGCAGGCTCAGCAGCCCCTGGCTCACCTCCTCCATGTCGCGGAAGGCCGCCATGACTACGCCAGGCCCAAACCCGCGCAAATTTGACTGCTCGCGGGGCCCGCCTCCTCTCCCGAGAGGTCCACTTCCATTGGATACTCTCTCCGTCAGTCACTAGCGATGGCCAATAGGCTTAGGGAGGGGCCCTAAAGGGGAAGGCGCCTCAGGTCTGGCCTGGTGCGCCTGCGCCGGCACCTCCGTCGGTCATTCGCGATGACCAATCGGCGCAGGGATGGGGCGTCGCCGGGAGGCCGGCCATTGCGCCTGCGCGGGCGGGAAAGCGCCTGCCAGAGCCTGAATTGTTTATTTCGCCGTGGATCTGGCGCCAACAACTGAGTGCCGGGGTGGTTTCTAGGGGCGAAGCAGTGAACGCCTTCTCCTATGGCATTCTAGGATGTGTGCCTTACTTTCCCCCTCAGTAAAATGAGGGTCATCATAGCCCCTGCCTCTGGGTGGGCATGGAGATTTTGGGTTTTTTTGAGTCGGAGCCTCACTCCGTCGCCCAGGCTGGAGTGCGGGGACACGCTCACGGCCACCCCAGCGTCGACCTGCTGGGCTCCGGCGATCCTTCTGCCTCAGCCTTACAAGTAGCCAGAATTTTTTGATTTATTGTAGAGACGCGGTCTCGCCAAGTTGCCCGGGCTGGTCTCGAACCCGCGGGCTCTGGCAGTCCTCTCACCTCCGCCTAAGTGTTGGGATTACAGGCGTGAGCCACCGCACCCTGCCAGGATCAATCTTTCTACAAAATAGAAGAAAAATGTTAGGCCAGACACAGCGATTGTAATCCTGGTACTTTGGGAGGCTGAGGCCAGAGGATTGCATGGGCCCAGGAGTTTGAGATCAGCCTGGGCAATATAGCGAGACCTCATCTCTGCCAAAAAACCTCAAATTAGCTGGGTGTGGTGGTTGGGAGGCTGAGGCAGGAGGATCACTTGAGCCCAGAAGTTCAGGGCTGTGGTGAGCCGTGATCCTGCCACTGCGCTCCAGCCTGGGCGACAGAGTGAGAGCCTGATTCAATAAATAAATAAAAATAATCAATACATGTGTACAGAAAGTTAAGTGCTCCTCTGGGAAATTCTGAACTCTTCATTTGTATACTGGGTGTGGCCATATTTTTGAAAAATGGCTACAGAAATAGTTTCAAGGCTCACTAGTCATCAAAGAAATGCAAGTTAAAACCACACTGAGATACCACCTAACTCCAATCAGAATGGCCATCATCAATAACTCAAAGACAACAGATGAAGAAGAGGACTTGGGGAACAGGGAACACTTCTACACTGCTGGTGGGACTGCAAACTAATACAATCTCTGTGGAACAGTGTGGCGATTCCTAAAAGATCTAAAAATTGACCTCCCACACAATCCCACAATCCCCCTACTGGGAATATACCTGGAGGAACTCAAATCGCTCTATGAAAAAGACACCTGCACACACCTGTTTATTGCAGCGTTATTTCCAATAGCAAATACGTGGAACCAACTGTGCTGCCCATGGAAAGAGGACTGGATTTTAAAAATGTGGTACATATACGTGATGGAATATTATGCAGTCATAAATAAGGACAAAATTATCGGCTTCACAGCAACTTGGATGGACGTAGAGCCTATAATACTGAGTGATCTGTCAGAGAAACAAAGAACCGAGTTATCACACGTTTTCACTCATTGAACAACTTTTGTAATACTATAAGAAAGGGATTGGCAGTAGTGGGAAACTGCCAGGGGAGGGGGAGGCACACCTCAGCCACAAGGGTACCTGCATAATGAACATTCGAATACCTAACCCTGAACTGTACCCCACATATTTAAAATTCAAAATTAAAAGAAAAAGACTGAGTGCAGTGTCTCACACCTATAATCCCAGAACTTTGGGAGGCCGAGATGAAAGGATTACCTGAGCCCAGGAGTGTGAGACCAACCTGGGCAACCTGATGAGGCCTCATCTCCACAATAAATCAAGAAAAATTAGCTGGATGTGGTGGCACATGCTGTAGTTCCAGCTACTTGGAAGGCTGAAGCGAAAGGATCTCCTGAGCCTGGCAGGTCGATGCTGTGGTGGCCGTGAGCATGCCACTGCACTCCAGCCTGGGTGATGGAGTGAGACTCCGACTCAGAAAAAAGAGAAATAGTTTCAACTTTGCCATTCCTTGTCAAGAGACTGTAATTCCCCTCCTCTTGAATGGATCAGGACTTTAGGCAACCAACAGAATGTGGCAGAAAGGACACTGTGTGACTTCCGAGGCTAGGTCATAAACTAGGATACATCTTTTTCATCTGTCAGTCTGGCTGACTGGCTGCCTCTCTCTCTCTTCAGAATACTGTCCTTTTTTTTTTTTTTTGAGTTGG